ACAAAGAGCTGACCATGGATTAATCTGCGTAAGGGACCAAAGCGCTAGGCCAACTTCCCAGGGGTTATTCTTTGTAATTGTCAATTACACCCGACTGAACGGTTCTAAGTCTTGAAACAGCGCACATGAGGCACCTAATATCCCTCGTACTTTGGCCATCTTCAGATGGTTTTTTTTAGAAAGGACTCACTTCGAAATACGTTTTCAATGCTCCCCTCCTCCGCCGTTTCAAAATTCAATAACATAAAAGCCTTCTGGAAGTTTTTCTCCCAGTATACGTCACGAGGATGTCATTAGTCGAAGGCCTCAAAACATCTAGATGGAATAATGTATCAACCAGAGCCCTTTTGCTGCCTTCCAGTCATATTCTTCCCAAGAAATATCACGCGTAATTTACAAGGAACAGGTACCATATAATGGGAGAAGCTCAATGTGATCCGAACCCAAAGAGGATAAGTAACTATCCTAGCGCTCCTGAATGAAGTCCAGTGCGTGGCGCAGCCTAGAAGAGGGATCGATCAACGACGAATGCTCCATCCGTTGTACTTTTGATACTCATTATGAAGGCGAAAGAGGTATGACGCCGCCAACGCAGTCGGAACTTCTGATATCAAATCTTGAGCCAAAGTGAGCCAGCCACGCTGACCAAGCCTTCCGTCAGTTGATTTTTTGGCATTGGCATTCTGTTTCTGGACATATAAGGGAGGAAGAAGAACTCAGAGCATCAATGACCTCTCGTCGATATTCCATCTCCCTTATGAAGGCTCAATTCAACCCTCGTTCCTGACTCTCACGGCCAGGTGACCTTCGGAGATGAAATTATTTCAACCCTAAAATAAAGATCATTGCGACAATTAGTATTCACTTGAAGGTTGCCGTCACACATTCGGCTTCTATTCAGAATTAGCCCATGAATGAGTAGCAACATCTTGAAAATCCTCAGTGTTTTCCAAATGTTTCCATTTCCAGTACACCTATCAAACCATCCTTTTTTACCCATCCTTCACACGAAACAAGGAAAACCTTTGGCCTGGGATGCAGTATTACAAGCAGGATTTGAGATTAGATTAATCCAATCGTGATCCCAGCTTTGCGTACACTTTTCGTAGTCTGCCGTACGAAGATCGTGTTAGTAATTCTGGGCTACAAATCCTAACAACTAGCGACCGCTGAAGATTTCTATTCACTGGCTTAGATAGCCTATTTCCTTAATGTGTTGGAGATTTATTTACTATGCGTAGACGTGTGCAACTGTCCGTCATTGTTCGGTTAGCATTTTCCCAAGCTAGATTATAACGCCGGAACGTTCCACGTCTGTCAACCGATCTGAAAAATCCACGGATTGACGCACAGCTGTGGACCGTTCACATATGTATATTCGTCGATTCTCTGCCGTATTCATTTATTCGTGCCTTACGGTATTTCGAGTTTGTACTCAAAAAACCGCCTGGTAGCGTGCGATCGTCCAACTAAGAAGGTCTACACTCCGACTTCTGAATCTTCGCTTTGTCCCCCCTCCCTCCTCAAGCCATTGCTGAACCGGGGAATCCAGAATAAGTATAACAAATAGTCGTAATTTAAAATGATAATTTGCATTTGTATAAAAAGTCTTGCAAAGCGATACTGGAGTGCGAAAACTTATTTACTCTAAAAATTTGTTCCAGTGACTCCACGTCATCTCTCTCTACCTCCACCCCCCCCCCGTCTACCATATTTCCTCATACTTATCAGTTTTTGTCAGAGAACGCAAATCTATCAAGCGAAGACTTACTAATACTAGTGACGTCGCGAGCCACGCCCACTAGCGCAGCTTCTTGCGATTATCTTACTCAGCTCGTCAGATTGAATGTGGTCCAGTCTCGGTCCCTAGAGCTTGCAGACCTCCTGACGCTCCTGACCTAGGCTTCATTCAATGCTTTGCGTAACTCCTTCATTAGCCCTCATCTCCTTTTTTCCGGGACTCACAGGCACTTCAAGAAATTACACTAGAATGTTTGATTTTGGCTCCACCTACTTGCACGTCCTGCCAACCATGAGCATCAGCAACGGTCTACTCCACTGCAAGTTTCTATGCCCTATGTCCTCTTTTTCCATTCTTGAAAGATGTTCAGAAACCTTGGAATGGATTTTGCATCCAGCTCTGGCTCTGACAAAATGCGCAATTGAACGTATTCTAAATAAATCAGGATTCTAGTGCTTATATTCGTGTAAACAGAGAATTTCTCGTTAGAAAGGCGTGCCCGCTGTTGATCTCCTGTTAGAATTTTAAATTACTTTATAGCCTTAGCACAACGCTGAGATGTGTGCATAATCCATGTGTATGAAGCGCGCGGACGCGAAGCGGCAATCATCCCTTTGAATAGTGTTTGCCACTCAAAGCGTAGAACTATCAGGTCTTAGATATCGACAATAAGTGACGACAAATTTTCCTATTTATTTATCTCAGTGCTTACCAGGGGAAGATATCTTGCCTGAATGGAGCGATTGAACATTCAAACTGCCTTGTTCTATACAAATTTAATTGCAGCGGTAGCTCAGCGCTACCTAACCTGCCACCTGCACTGCTCATGAGGCCGAGTTTTACTGAGGCCAACTCAGCATGCCGTCTACCTGAATTGGTGAATTCGTAGCAACGTTCTTGCCCACATTTACGTATTTCTTGAATAAGTCAAATATGCAATTGAATACCCTGGCGACCTTGGAGGGGTTTAAATGAGATGTGTTTTCCAAAAGAAAGAGCAATGTAGAGCACTTTAGAAAGGATCAAGAAAACCAGCGGATGAAGAGTAGATCACTCTGTATTCCATCTATTTTCCATAATCAAAGTCATGCAATTTCCCAACAATCGCTCTAGCGTCCGACATATATGTATTGCTCAGGACAGCACATTTGTCACAACCTCGAGCACTCTAATGGTGATTGCCTTCAGCAAACTCTAACAAAAAATAGTTCATTACCAGCCAAGAGCCCAATGAATCCGCTACACCCGAAGAGGGCAACTGTTACTCGCAACGGCTAGAAAAGCCTCCCACTCCGTCATACACTGGAAGTGATTCGATGACGTGACTTTCTCGTCAACAAACTTGCAAGTTTCTTCTCAAACCTCTGCTTGAGAACTTCGTTCCAGGTGATGCTCATTCACTTCAGAGATTCTACCAGAACATGGCTGTGAGCGGGATACTTACTTTACTTTGATACTTTGATAGTCCATCAACTGGCGTTCTTCTCAGTGAGGACCACACCACTCTTCCACATAGCCCGATTTTTGGCAACTTGCATCCATGTAGGCCGCATTGAGCGGGATAGTCGAAAAATATCTGGATATCCCGTTGTGCTATCCTTGGTGCTCTGAATTTTGTGTCTGGTTTACGGTAACGCTCGCACAGTCCTTCCATGTGACCACAAGAGCACAAAGTGGTCCTTCCTTGCGACCACAAGAGCACAAGTGGTGCTGCCGTAAAAGTGCTACTTTTTTGAGGTGTTTTCGGAGTTGTGTAGTGTGGCGATTATTGCGCTACGGTACTGGGGCCTATGCAGCAGTACACGGCCAGGATGGGTCCCCAAAACTCATGATCTCTACTCCGGTCAATGGCGTAGTTTCCCATAGTCATGAATAGGGAGATGCGTCCAGAGATGCAGAGTTTGTGGACTCACCCCCGGTTAGGGTACTACAGCTGCGCAAGGACCTTGCTGGAGTCACGAGCTCGGTCCTGCTTGGAAGCA